GTCCCACGACACCTCCAGGAGGCTAGACAGTGATCTCTGGCGTCCCAGAGACACTCCCCTAATGCCAGGTCTCACTGCTCCCCACACTAACCGAACAACCTCCTTTACCTTACCTATACTACCACAGAGGAGGTAGACCCAGGGAAGGAAGCCTTGTTAGGCTATCACACTCCCCCGCCGGGTTAGGCTGTACAGTCTACCTCCCCAGGACGAGCCCTCACAACAGTGACACCTCCAGGAGGCTGGACAGTGATCAGTGATAAATAAATGTGAAACCCCACCTACAAATTTATCATGAGGATACATTAAGTCTTCCAGCCTTACACCATTCTCACTTGCATATTATTGCAATGACTGGGAAGACTGCATTCTAATGCAAGGGTGTAGGAGAAGCTTCCCAATCCATTCATCCACTGGATGCCCTGAGACTTTCCAACTGGTTCCAGTCACCTGCATCTGTCTTTTGTTTGTATTATTATATCAACTCCTCTTAGATATCTTTAAAAAAAAAAAAAATTATACGGTTGGAAAATTGCATATAGATTGCATAAATAACTGTGGTGAAGTCCAACATTAACACGCAGTAGTCATTAGTACACAGCTGTGAAAGTTAACATAGCTAAAACATGTCATGACAGTATAACAAGACTAGTTCATCCATTAGGTATGTTATTTACCTGAATGCTAGTTGTATTTGATCCAGCTCTTGTACCTTGTGTACATGAAAACATCTATGAACTCAGTAGGGTCACAGAATGCAGCTTATCAAGCACAGCATGTTGTCCTGAGGTTGGTTCTGACACTGCAGGCCCTCACTTTGTCTGTGTATTTTACAGCAAGGATTTCAGTGGCACCATTAATATAGTTTCAGAGCTTTAATATGAACAAAAGTCTAAGAGCATAAACACTTAATGATGATGATTAAAGGAACTTATTTTAGGGGCTCATAGCAGTCTAGTGCCAGTTAGAGAACTGTCTGTGGACCAGAAAAGATAAATATCACACAGCTATTTAGTCTTTCAGCAAACAATTTTCCTTGTTATGTCATGTCCTCAATGTCCTGTAGACAACAATACATAAACTGTGTAAATCCCAGAGAAGACAGTATCATTCAGGTGCTGCTGCTTTGTTTCTCCCTGCTTTATGACTCAGTTTTGCTTTGCCTGATTGTGTCTCACAGTTATAGTCCCGGACCTCACATGTAAAATAAGCGTCGCAGTTCAGATGACCACATCACTCTCAGAGCTCCGACAAGCAACATGGAGGTAATGGCATCTCTGACCTTGCTGAGAAGTAGAAGTTGTCCAACCAATCACACTTATGAGTCCTATCAGCTTTATATAGTATTAACTTTGGTTACTGTACAAACACCACACTATTTACTTTGATTTATATGACACAGTAATTGGATGCATTCCTAATCACTGATGTTTGTTTTCTGCACATAAATGTGGATCCATCTGTGTAGATATCATCAGTCATCACTGTTAAAAATGGATTACTAACCACCTTTACTGTAAATCATGCACACAACCTGTCCTCAGTCCCAGAGGAGAGAACAATCATTTCAAAGTGCATTTTCCTTCTGAAAGTGATATGATGAGAGCTTTGCTCCTAGTGCTGTCTGAGGCTGTTAGTCCACTCTAAATTTCGAGAATAGAATGGCTGAATCATATTGACCAGATATGAGATTATTATCTGCTGCTACTCTTTTTGTCACCTGTTGTGTGACTGAAAGAAAATGTGACAAATGCATTTGCACATGAAAACTGACTGTATTTTATATATTTGATGAAGCACATATGTATTTACATATGTACTTTATACATACATAATATGTGCGCATGGGGTCCTGTCTGCTGTGGTAGACCCCTGCTTCTATAGATCTTCTACTAAGTGCCTCACCCTGTGCTGCCAGAATTTATTATTGTCGGCCACTTCTTCAGTCTGTTGGTGGTACATGCCATGCAGGGGCTTGTCCTTCCATGATAGTTCGTCCTATTCTTCTGCATTCTCAAGTTTCTGATGCTTGAGGTATTCACTTAGCAGCTCATCTTTGGGGACCATCTTCACAATTCGTCTTCCCTCTCTTGGACACTGTTCGACTACACTTACCTAAACCAAATGACATTCTGATGTCACTGCTGTAGAATAGCTGTAGATCAATCAATCAATCAATTTTATTTATAAAGCCCAATATCACAAATCACAATTTGCCTCACAGGGCTTTACAGCATACGACATCCCTCACATGGTGAGTAAGTGCCAGGAGGAGTTTGAAATGTCAAATGGAGTGTAAGAGCTGAAAAAAGTTAGTCAGTTTAACAATTTATATAGTGTCACATTTTGAGTCAGATGATGTGTAGATACTTAAAGCAGTTGAACTGTCACTTTAGCTTGTTTAAGGATCTGAAGGCTCAGTTGGTGTGCAAGTGCAGAAAACATCTGAAATTTAGAGGGGTGTAATTGATTAGAAACAGTGGTGGATGAAGTACATCATCTTACCAGAAAATGAGTTTAAAGTTTCCCATTAGAACATTACTTGAGTAAAGTGTCTGATATTTAGGCACTTTTATGATATTAAATGTACTTAAGTATTGAAAGTAAAAGTACAAATAGGCCTAAATGCTGGTAATAAAAACATCACGCTCACACTTGATGAAAGAACTTTTTGACAACTGAGAGTATTTAAGGAACAAAATCCAGTTTTTCCTTCCTTCTTTCTTCCCTTCCTTCCCTATTTTGTAGTAGCCTAAGTAACCAAGATGCTTAGGGGAAATGTATTGGAATAGAAGTATGCATTTTATGTAGGAAAGAAGAAGGAAGGAAAAGTTAAAAGTGAAAAAGTGAAAGCTAAAAAAAATATAAAAACTAATTTACAGATTCTTACAAAAGTACTTAAGTAATATAACTTTGTTACACAACTGATTATATATAAAACATAATGTTTGTAAAAGTCATGATCATTTTCCAGTTACCTCCTCTGTCCCTTAAAGGTTTGTTTAATGGGAGAACCTGCTTTTGCTCTTTATCTGACACACAGTACAAACAAGGTTATTAGATCCCCTGAGGGCAGGAAGAAAAAAAAAAGAAAAGCTTGTGTGTGCGTGTTTTGACAATCCGCTACCCTACCTTTACTTCCTGGAGGGGAGGAAAAAAAAACCTTCCCAGGTAATTGTGACTGGGCTGGGTGTGACCCTAGAGAATGTCAAACAAAGAGAGTGGCTCACTGCTTGTCATAGTAAGGGAACAGAGGATTTTTCTTTCATGTTCATTCCCCACACGAAATACAGCAGTGAGCCGGTGTGGAAACAACAGCCTGTACCTGCTCTTTTTGGACACATTGACATTGCCTGGTAAGTCTGTGTTTTCCTGTGACCTTTGAGTGTGAGTGGTGAGCACCATGTTTGTTTTTACCTTTCAGAATGTGACTGAAAGTTCTAAGTGTTTTGCTTTCTACTCAGGTGTAAATTTAGTAGAGGTTTGTTTGAGGTTCAAGGTTACCTGTAGCTACAGAGATAGGGGAGTCCAGCCTACAGTTTGTGACGTTTTCTTTTAAGCTTTGTGAGCTTTGTGGCTGACTTGGGATGAATAAAGTCTGTTCCCTGAGTTGTGTGGTCTGCTCATTTGAAATCAGAAGGTTTGGGTTAGGATTAATTGTGGGGGTTTAAGATTGAGAACTGTTTTCTATCTCACTTTGACAGTTTTATGGACCTACACTGCTGGGTAACCTTTGTAGGGCCAGCAGCTATGAAAGGTGGAATGACAAATACAAATGTCCTTTAAAGCTACAGTTGGTAACTTTAATAAAAATACCTTTTCACATTTGCTGAAACTGTCGCAATCCTCTAAAAGAAGTACACTAGACAGATCTGTGACAGATCCTCTTTCTATTGCTTTTAATGGTGTTCATTAGAGTCAGACCGTGGTGCGGTAGAAACAACCAATCACAGCTGAGGACTGACACAGCTGTCAATGACTCCATGACCTGCAGTGAAACTGTCAAACTGCTTATCAAATATAAATCAAGAATCTGTTACAGCTGTGCCTATTTCTCAACTCAAATGTTTTCATAAACATATTTTAGTGTACTGTTTGGCTTTAAAATGAGAGCTTTTTAAAAAATATTTTATTTCAGATCTTTTCAGATGGAAAAGACACAAAGAACTAAGCGGTTAAATAAAGAGGCCATTACTTGCCTCATCCCATCTCTCCCTACAAATATAAGGGAGAGAAGTGAAGAAAAAGACAAAACAAAATAAAAACAAAAAACAATCAGTGTACTCTTCTTCGTATGTTTCTTTGGTCACCCGTTAACAGAATTAAATTTTGTGAAAATTATATGAAGACAAATGTTCAACTGAAAATAAGTCATTGAGGTATAATAAGGGTCCTGTCAGTGCTGTAGTACAGACAAGGAGGGGTTGCCATGTCTGTTTAAACCTACTTGCTTTCCCTGACATCTCATATTGTATTTTCTTCATATATAAAGTACTAGAAGAACTCTGTGAGGCAGGTTTCAAAACCAACAAATTGTTACTCCGACCTCATCACATATCGACATTTGGTTGTGGGCTTTCCATGATGACAAATGACGTGCAAGGTACCCTGGGTGTGTTGTTGACACTCTGGGATGACTTGTCACTTTCTGCCTGTCACATGCACTGTCTGATTACAAAATACACTTCTGTTTTCACAGGAAATGTACAGTTTGCGCACAGTCAGTACAGCACCACAAATTGACTTTTTTTTTTCCTTCAACAATAAACGCACATTATTACATTTTGCCAATACTCACACATGGTTGGGTGAAAAAAGCATGTTGGGTTTCGGAAAAAAGGACAGGGTTTGACTATACAATCTTACAGGAAGCAAACACTGGACTCCTGCTGCTTTAACTTTCATTGTTTTCCTGTCAGACAGCTTTTTTCATCAGTGTCTGATGCCGGAAGTCACTGACCAAGCGACGGTTTTTGACGACCTTGGAGTGAGACTGGGTTGTCAAAACATGGGGATAGCTCAGTCTTTCACACCTTAAGAAAGATTTTCTTTGTGATGATCAGTCCATACTGAATCAAAAGATTTTTTTTTTTAGTGACCTGGAGTTTCTAGCTGTTGCAACCAGCCTAGAATGGCAGTTTCTCAATTAGGAGGAAGATCATGTCTGGACACATCTCAGTATTAATGAAAAACTTCCAACCAAAGCTTTTGAAAGTCTGGTGCAGGTCCAACACATATGAGCCAGCGATCCTTCAGACTGATTACATTTATTACAAAGTGGATGAGGGTGGGTAGAATGAATGTCATTTGACATGTGAATAATGGTGTCAGCAGAAAGGCCGCGGTGCAGATGAAGGGAATATAACTTCAACTTCTACTCTAGTTGACCACAACTACACTTGTTACTGTAAGTAAGTGCAATACAACCTCTGCCAGAAAAAAATCAATACTTTATCAATACATGTGTTCAGCAAGTAGAAAGCCATATTTCAACCTGCTCTGTCCACAGTCTCTCACTCAACACTATGGTTTACAATCGCAGTTTACACAAGCACATCGTGCTTGCGGGGCTAACAGCAAACTGTTAAAGACAAACTAAAATGAAAGCTGTCTGTAACACTCTAGTCTGTAGGCCTCTAGTTTCGCAGACCGGGTGCACCTGCGCTTCGCCAACTGGGTGTGGCCAGGCAGATTTTGCAAGTTTGACACACCGTGTGTGCTGGCGCAGCTACTCCTCTTTTCCACCTCCATCCTTCCTACCTGCGCAAGTTGGAAAGAGGGAGGAGAGCAGGCGTGGAGTGGGTTTTGCACAGCCGATTCACATCACACCAATCAAATGAGCCCCTCTCCTCGCCCTTAAATGCGCTGCACAAAGGCGTAATGAGAGTTTACTCAATTCGCCATGGCAGAAGAGAGCAGCAGCGTCAGATGGCCAAACTTCTCCCAGGAGGAAACTGATGTTTTGGTCCAGGAGCTCCAATCTAGCTAGCAGCCACCCATCCAGAGGGGGGTCCCCCTGAAAGACTGTAGGGATGACAGAATTCGCCAGGATGAATGAGTCATGAGCAGACCCAGGAAAATTAGCATACACATGTGTCACCAGGCAATTCAAGTCACAAATCACCTGGATATCAATGGAGTGTACTCCCTTACGGTTCACATAAGTGATGGCTTGGGTATCTGGGGCACGCAACTGTACATGTGTGCAGTCGATTGCTCCCAGTACCCCAGGGAATCCACATTTCAACAAGAAACCTCGCTTCGTTTCCAGCTGGCTCTCAGGTGTGGATGGAAAAATTATGTACTCATTTGCATGTCGGACTAGACTAGACATCACTGCATGTATAGCCGAACTGACAGCTCTCTGACTGATCCCCACCACCGCGGCCACAGTGTGCTGGAAAGACCCAGTGGCGAAGAAGGTCAGAGCCACTGTCACCTTTACAGCAACAGGGAGAGCACAGGTGCCACCGTGGTGCGCATCAGAGGCCACAATGGCACTAACTCGGCTTCTTCTCCGAAGCCTTTGTGCTCCACTGTCTCTCAGATTAACTCATATTGCAGCGGTGCCTGGACAGCGTGATGTGTGTGGTTGTGCTGCTGCCGTGGTCCTGCCAGATGCCTCCTGCTGTTGCTGCTGCCATCATTAGTCATTAGTCATACTTCTACTGTTATTATACACATATGACTATTGTCACACATGTATACTGCCAGATATTA